GAAAATATTTATATAGATTTAAATACTTATTTTTAATAAATAAAAATAAAAATACAAAAATTCTTTAGTATGGCTCTCGGATTAGTTTTTACAATATTACTAAATAAAGCACATACTCATATGCATTACACATATAAGTATATTTTTACATAAATACCCATTTAGTTGTACAACAATTCAGAGCCCATTATGCTACAACTCGTTTGCTTTTGTATCTAATTGCGCACTTGACTAATTAATTTGTGATTTCAACTGGGATTTCATTACGTCTCAAAGCGCCACACACAGACACAGTCATGCACGCATAGATATACGCACAAAGGACAACCCACCTATACATACATAAGTATAAAGCTTAAGAGCACTAATGAAGTTTTCATAAGGAAAAGCAAAGCTCGCGCGCGCACAAAGTAAATAGCAACAGTCATGTGCGCAAGTATGTGTGTGTGTGTGTATGGATATGAATATGCTTCTACCTGAATAAATCAGTTCAGATGCAATCCCTATGCTGCATTGGGTAACTTTTGCAGGACTTATACCGAATGAAAGACGAGCAGAGAGCAAACACCACCAACAACAACACGAATGAGATAACAAAAACTGCAAAACAATAACAATAACAGCAAAAAGAGCTTTTTCAAGCAACAGCTTCGCCCACACACAGAAATGCGCTCTCTCTCATCGCGCTGTCTCCCTTCCGCTCGCACTCTAGCTGGCACAGTGCGAGTGTGGATTGTGTGCGTCTGTGTGGATTCTGTTTGCTGAGTGTGTGGTCTTCGTTTCCTTTCGTGTCGTAGGCTGAGCCGAATAGTATAAATTGCAGACGCTTTGCGAATTTGATGTCACTCTTGGTTCCGTCTTGGCTGTGGCTGGTGCTCAACTGAATCAAGCGCGAGTCCTTGTAGCAAACACAGAAAAAAAATATATATAGAAAAGTAAAGAAGGCGTAGGAGTGACGCCATGTTGTGAAAAGTGTCTACCATTTTATTATTTGCCAACAACAAATAAAGCACACACATACGTAGATAAGAAGACGCAGTGCAACACACTGAATGCTTTGAGGAAAATACAATTTGAAAGGACATCCAGAAAAACAGTGCAATTTTTCCACATTCTCAAACGAAAGAGACGTCCGTGTCAAAGCGAGGAGCCGTAAGCTGCCATTGATTTGTTTGTTGGTAAGCGTGGGCGTGTTGTGTCAATAAGTCAAAAACGAGCCTCAATGTGTCAATATTTTATATGATTGGCTTGATTAAAGCGCCGCTCTTGTGCGCTGATAAACCGTTGCGAAGGCTAAATGAATTATGCAGAGCGTACATATCAAGTTTGTAAAAAGAAGAAAGGCGAAATGGCTAAAGGCATAATAGAAAAGGTCCTTTTTTTCTGCGCCAGTTGCCTAATTAGACGCAGTTCCTGGTAGCGAGTATATAGTAGATATATGTATATGCGACTCAATCTGTTGTGGCAATTGAATTTGTCAGTAAATTGAATTGCCAAGCAAATGCTTTTGGGACTTGCTGCTGGGTCCCTCAAATAAATATTCATCACATAAATCAAATTATGTTGCCGCGGCACGAGCCAATTTGCATCCACTGCCCAGCATCAATATCGACAGTTACATTCCGTATATACACTCACACAGACATACACACACATATATATATATATATATAGAGACATAATGTGTATCATATAATTGACAGCTTATTGAAGCTGTCTATCAAATTGGACAGCCACCATATACCTAAAAATAACAGGTTCCATATATATTATATATTTCATATTGTTTTTATTATATTATGTATACGCCCAATGGTACGGCCTGCGCTTTCGTTGTTCTACGCGTCAACCGCAAAATCCGCCGCAGACTTTTTTGGGTATGTTTTTCTTTCGCAAAGCGTATCAAAAGCTAATCAAAAAATATATTTGTATATATATCAGAGCTCAAGATCTCAAACCAATTGCATTTTTTGCACAATTTAAGTCGATTTTTATTTGTTTCATATTTGCAAACTTTTCGAAAAGCCTGTCAAATTTGCATATGAAATAAATTGCTTTTGGCATTAAGTCAGAGAAATGTCACATGAAGAGAACAATAAGTCCGCCGTGTACATCAAATAAGCTGTTTCGAGCATAAATCATTTGAAATGCTGCGTAAAATTCCTGGAAATTAAAAGCTCAAGTAAAAAGAAGAAAACACAAATTGTCTTCAAGCAAATAAATGATAGGTACACATATAATATATAAATAATAAATTAAGTCAAATTTGCTTTCAAATTAAGTAGGTAATTTAATATCAGTAACCAACACACGTCAAATAGGAAAAATCGAGCATCAGAATTTTAGATGATTTAATTTTAGATTAAATAAATAGTAATGGCTGCAAGTATATTCGTTGAGCTATTGTTTGCTTGAATTAGACTTTTGCTGAGTTAACAACCTTAACGCTCTTCCGTTTCAGCTCTGCTGAATCATTAACCAACACTGGCCAAATAGCACTTAATCTTCATCAATATGAATAACTTAGTATATCGCCCATCTCTTACGTCAACCATTGTTAAATAAGCATTAAGCAACACTGGTCAAATGCTGCACGCAGGCATCGTTTTTATATGAGAGGTAGAGATATTCGAAAGTAATTAAAGTTTCTTTCCATGTAATCAGTAATGCCAGAGCTTACAGCTCCTAAGTTTCAGTCATGCTGAATCCTTAGCCAACACTGGCCAAACATTACTCAATCTGTGTCTTACACAGTTTTCCATATAAATCACTTCAGCTTTTCTTTAGCAATCACTTAAGTCGAAACTTGTACTCTGAGCCCCTCACCCGTGCATACTCGTTAGCCAACACTGGTCAAGCTTATTCAAATCGAATTTGCAAATGCGGTTTCGCTAACAGATTTATTATCTATTATCTTTAACCTTTGTTTAAAAGCACTCACTGCGCGTCCATTATGCAAATGCTAAAGAATAAAATGAATGGCAAAAGCGAAGGGAAAATAATTGAACTCGAAGTAAATTAATTTTATGCTACTGCGAGTCGAGTCGAGTCGAGTCGAGTCGCGTCTAATCGTGACTAAGACTCCTCCGGATGCCAGACATCAAGCAGCCAGGCAGCAGTAATAATATTATAATAAAGTACAAAAACAACAATAACAAAAGGCATTGAAACTAAAAAAATATAAACAGATAGTAAGCAACAACAGCTGCAGGCGAGACGCTGGGCAAAGTGGGCGGGGCCGCGACGAGGGCCAGCTAAAACGTATAGCAGCTGCCTTGACATTTAATGTCGCTTAAAGGCAACCGTCTATCATAAATTCCAAAGCAAATGCGACTAGGGAGCGGGCGACAAGAAGAAGAGTGCCTTTTGCTATCTATATATACACTCGGGGTGTGTGTGTCTGGTGTGTGTATTTCTTTTACAAAGAGAACCGCAGCAGCAGCAGCAACAGCAGCAACAGGCAGCTAGCGTGGCGTATACTTCATATTACGTATACGTCAAGTGTGTCGGTGTGYATGCGCCATTCCATTCCATTCATTACGGCGACAACTATAGCATACTTCTGTGCGCCGCAAATAAAATGCTCGCCCGGAAACCGGCTTGTCAGCGTCATGAACATAATTGTCCTTTCGCCTATGCTGGCATGATGAAGAAGAAGAAGAAGAAGAAGAAAGAATATAATTCTGGAAGAACTTTGGCAGCTGCGGAGAAATGTGCGCACATTGGAATTTTATTGATTTGTCTGCAGAATGGAGAGTGCTGCGACGTCAGTCGTTCATTAAAAGTCCAGATGAACAAATAATTGAAATGCCAGCCGCTATAGCTCTACCTCTCTCTCTATCTCCATATCCCTCTCTATCTCCCTTTATCCCTCGCTCTCCTTTAATTTGCATAGTTATGCGCATAAAACACCTGAAAATTCACATAATTGCGTGGAAATCTATGTGGAAGATGTTTGAATATTGCGAAAGGTCGATCGAAAATATGTGGAAAACTGTGTGAGATATGCGAGCAGGAAGAAGTTTAAGGCCTCGCTCAAGAAATAATTCACTCAATTATGCAGAATATGTGTGCAAAGTGTTGTATTTAGTGAAAGTTTACTCGAATTAATGTTTAATCAGCAGCACGTCCTAGGGAAAGTCACTTAATTATGCTGAGTATGTGCGAGAAAGGCAGTAAGGACTCGCTTAGCTGAAGCAGAGGACATAACTCAGGCTGTGGAATATGTGTGGCAAATATGGAAAATGTTCTGCGGTGACGTCAATGCAATAATTCACTTAATTCCCTGAAATATGCATGGAACGTGATTGATGTAGTGATGCACTTAATTATGTGGAAAGTGTGTGGCAGGAGATGTGCTAAAGACAGTCAAGCCTCGCTTAGATGAAGTGGAAAGGATAACTCACTCAATTGCAGGGCTGACATATGATATGTGTGAGATATTACCGAACAGTAAAGCTTTGCTAGACTGAAGGCAATGCTATAATTTATTTAATTATGTGGAATATGAGTAGAGTAATATATACATAGATTGAACACTTGCTCCAATTAATGTAGAATGCATGGAAACCAAATTAATTGATAAGGCGGACATTATATGATATATTCAGTAAAAATTAATTTGGGTATACATTGAGAGATATTCTATTATAATACTTTCAAAAACATAATCTAAATTTATAAAATTTATATTAAATATAATTAAAACTCAGACTTAAATACCTGATAACATTTAAAGAAATCTAAAAGTCCAATTCTAACTTATAATAAAATAAACCTGTTATACGCAAAGCTCCTCTCAGCTCAGCTGTGCACTTAGGCAGCTTTCACTGTGGCTAAGCCGTCTGGCATTTCATATGCTATTAGCTGTGCATAATGAATCGCTGGCTGACAATGAGCCTCTACGCTGCTGGCAAACCCACTTGATATCCGATATCTAATGCCGCAGACACACAGCACACACACGCACACACACGCACACACACGCGCACACACACTCACACACAGAGAGACCCTCTCTGCACCTGACTTTGCTTTAAAGTGCAAATGTAATTAAAAGTTTTTTTTATATATATTTTTATTTGCGCGCCTGGGGCTAGTACCTTTACGGGCCTGAAACGTGCCGGGCATAAAATAATATTAATGCGTTGATCCTTTAACTTCTACTTCTCCCTCTTCATCTTCTTCTTCTTTTTGTTCTTCTCGTTCAGCAACAGAGGCAGTTGTAAGGCAGCTGTTGCCATGGCCGGCCAATTTGTCGATGCCGGGGCCATCCTGGGACTGTTGCTGCTTGGCATTGTTCTGGCCACGCCCCAACGCGCCGCCTACTCACTGCAGGCGGCCGTCGATGAGCTGCATCGCCGCGAGGCTGCCAAGTTTCCATTGAACGCACCGCCCCCATCTGGACAGCTGGACGACTGGGATGAAGGTGAGTGCTCTACGAACTCAAGGGCCGGGGAGGGGCAGCCGGGCAATCACAGCAGGCGAACTGCAGCAAAAACAACCACATGGTGAAGTAGTTGAATAACTAGCATAGTGGGCGAAAGATTCACGAGAGATAAGTTACAGAATGGATATGCTTAGTTCCCAACCCAAAAAGAGTCCTAGCACTATGTTAATTAACGTATCCCCTCCTAGCTATGCGGAACAGCTCCAAGCACCTACTCAGAATTAACATGTAATGTAATATAATCACTGTATTTAGAACTTATTTAGTAGAAATTGATATTGTTTTTAGATAGAGATACATATATATGTAGATCGAGAAAGAGAGAGAGAGATAGCGAAAGATACAGATGGACTTAGGCAAAGTGAGAGAGACATAGAGAGAGTGAAGGAGAACAGAATTATATAAAGCTGGGAGAAACAGAGCTACAGAGGGGGCTTCTAAGAGAGAGAGAGAGAGATAAAGAGAAAGAGAGAGAAGGATAGAGTAAACTAAAAAGACAGAGAGAAAATAAAAGTTAGCATTTAGAATGGTACATAAGAGATAGGGAGAGACAAGAATATAGATAGGGATAGCGAAAGCAAAAAAGAATCAAACACAATTTAAATAAAATAGAAGGGAAAATGAAGTAAAGGAGATGTAAGTAAAATCAAGCAATGCAATAAAAAGGGTAACATACATATTAATATGTATTTCAAATTTATTGCATATGTGACTGCAAATATTTAAAATAGCAAAGAAGCATACCTCTGCTGCTAACTGCTTAATAAGGCCACGATAAAACGATATGTTGTAATGAAAAGTCCCAATGCACAGACACGTGGAACTTGTGTGTGTGTTACTTAACGTGGGTAAATCGCATAAGCTCAAGTTAAGCCGGAATGGCAAGTCAGGAAAGGACACGACACGACAGGGCAGGGCAGGGCAGGGCGGGATAGGACAGCTGTCAGCTGCAGGGCAAGCGAGAGAAGCCAATTCGTAACTGATAGCAGAGCAAGCCAGAGGAACAACAGAGAGGTGGAGAGAGGGAGAGGGGAGGAAGTCGAGAGGTAGGGCAGGGCAACTGGAGGAGGCAACTGGATACAGTAGCAGCAGCAGCAGCAGCAGCAGCTGTAGCCCGCATGTAACAGAGCACGTGACCCATGGCATGTCTCCTGCACTCGCACACACATACACGCATACATGTAAATGTCTGTATATATATACACATAACGACTTTCAAGTTTCCTTTGATTTTCCCTTTTTGATTCCCAATTTTTGTATTCCCGTTACCTTTTTTGTTTTTTTTTTTTTTTTTTTTTTTTGCATTTATCTCCGTGCACAGTTGCATTTTTTTTTTTTTTTTTTTTTTTTACCAGCAACAAGTTTAAGAATCGGATTTTTTTTTTTTTTTTTTTTTTTTTTGCCAAGTATTTAGAGCGCGAGAATGAGCGCGATTTTTTTTTTTTTTTCGCCCTGGGCGGTCCGCCATTCGATGGCTACGAGTTCGACGATGAGCGCGAGCAGCAATCGAATCCCAGCAATCTGTTTGTGGATGACAAGCGCAAGCGTTCGTCCTCCAACTTTAGGGAGCGTGATGAGCAGCAGTACGGTAAGTAGATCTATTTAGGGGGCGGGCTGCGGGGCCAGGGAGTTACTCGAGTTGCGTCAAGTGGAGCTGAGTTTTATGCTCCATATGCGTGTCCACTTGAGTGCCACAAATGGATTGGGATAACAATGCTTTTGTTGTTGTTGTTGTTGTTGTTGCTTTTGCTTTTGCAGCTAAAACCACTTAGCTCAGATTAACTTGAGTGTGTGTGTGTGTGTGTGAGTGTGTGGACTTAGGCTCAACTCTTACTTGAATGATATATGCAATGAACTGGAAGCGGGCATCCTGTCAGCCTTCCTGTCATTCGATTTAATGGCCTGAAAGGTCGCCAACAACTTGATGCGTGCCCATAAGTCGCACACTCTCACCCACATACACACACACACACACAGAGAGAAAGACGTGCGCCCACACACACGAATTAATTATACAAGCTGAATTTATAGCCGAAGCACGCGATCCGACGGGCTGTCTATCAATGCAACCTGTCGACTCCTGCTCGTGTGTGCCTTAACTGAAGTCAATGTCAAAGTCCTGACACGAGCTTCCCCTTCTTCTTCTTCCCCTTATTCTCCTTATTCTTGTTCTATTTCCACTGCTATATATAGACTCGGCTCCATCTGTCTTCCGTGAACGTGAGAATCTGAACGGAGATGCCACGCACAGCGAGCTAACGGAACAATTTCTGCGCGAGATCGAGGAGGCCAGCGAGCACGAGCGGCAGGAGCGTTACAAGCTGGCGCTGCGTCAGCTCTGGGAGAAGTATCAGCAGCAGGAGAACGAGATCCACAACAACAACAACAACAACAACAATGGAGAGGCCGATGAGCTGGATGATGCGCCGCAGCAGCAGTCGCAGCTGTTCGAGCAAAAGAAACGCATGCGCATGCCGCCCTACTATCTGCTGATGCAAAAGAAACGCTCGTATCCGGTGCTGCCCTGGCTGCCGTACAACGCCGACAAGAAGAAGCGTTTTCCGGTGGCCAAACGTGCGGCGGGTGAGTCGCCGCTGGCCAAGACGGACGAGCGTGTCGCCCAGGAGCTGAGCGAGCTGTTCGGCAAGCCGTTGAATGACCAGCAGCCGGAGGAGAAGAAGAAACGTTCCACGGAGGAGCAACTGAAGGCAGCCTCGACCACACACCAACCGGAGACAGCGGCGGCCACGGCCACCGCTTTGGGTGACATGCGCCTGGAGATCAATTTCCAGCGCGTCAACGTGAGCACTGCTGCCGCGCCAAAGGAGACGCCGACACAGGCGCCATCAAAGCCCACTGGCACTGGGGAGTCGATCTCACACGGACACGCGGGCTACCATCACAAGCGTAGTGAGCACCACTCGGACGAGGAGTATGGCGAGCATGAGGGCGAGGGCGAGGGCGAGGGCGAGGAGAGCTCCGACGAGGAGGACCACGATGAGTTCGACGACGACGAGGATGCCGATGCCGAGGGCGAGGGCGAAGGCGACGCAGGCGAGCGACGGCGCAAGAAGAAGCGTGCCGCTAGCCATGCGCACGGCTCGCCGAGTGTGGGACACCTGATGCTGCGCGCCAAGAAGTCCATTGATTGGTCGCAGTACTTTGGCCTCGATCGCAAGAAGAAGTCCGAGCAGTTGGCAGAGTGAGTGCCAGGCGAAGATATGAGAGGAGTAGCCCCTTAACTCTGACTTCATCTATTTCTAGTGTCGAGTCCAAGAAACGCAGCGGGGAGAGCAACAGCAGCGGCGGCGGCAGCAACAGCAACAACGAGGAGCTGGATGAGCTGGAGCAGAAGAAGAAGAAGAAGCGCGACATTGATCCCGAGAAGCTGGAGAGCATGGACAAGAAGTTGCAGTCCATTGAGGATTTCATTATCGACGAGACCATCAAATATACGGGCGCACACGAGGGCATCAAGAACCAGGAGGAGATCCGCAAGCTGAAGGAGCATGTGCTCTCGCGCCTGGCCACCGCCTACAGCCTGGAGAAGATGCGCCGTGCGCTGGACAAGTTGCGTCAATCTGTGGACGCTGAAAATCATCTGCTGCGCAATGTCATCGAGCCGGACTCCGAGGAGAACTCCCTGGACAGCCAGTGGCCAATGAAGAAGCGCTACAGCGTCAAGAAGGAGCAGGCCGAACAGCAGGCAGAGTAAGTCCAGGAGGAGGGGAGGAGGGGAGGAGTGTGAAACAGTAGCTTATCAAAGGAACTTTCCTAGGGATGCACAGCAGCTGAAGAAGAAGCGCAGCGGCTATATGCGCTACCCAGATCCGCCAAACACCATGGACGAGCCGTTGGGCGTCCAGAGCACCGGCTACGAGACACTCAATGATGCCTACCTGGGCAACAAGAATTACGTCATTGGCTCCAATCAGTGCCCCATCATTGAGTCCATGGCCGAGCGTTGTCGCAGCGTTGATCTCATCTCGGGCGACTTGAATCAGGAGTTGATGCCGCTCTGCGGAGTGCATCAGATTTGTTATCTTTGTGTAAGTGAGAGAAGTCAGCCTGGAGAGGCCGATGAGAGAATAGAAACGGAGCGAGTGAGACATACAGAGAGAGAGAGAGAGAGAGAGAGAAACACTTTTTTGTTCTAATTTATTTTTTTAACTTAAAAATTCTTATATATAATTTATTTTTCTTTAATTTTTTTAATTCGAATTTCTGTGATTTTATTTTTATTATTTTTTATTTTATTTATTTTTTTCTTAAATTATATGTACT